TCCACAAGGATTGGCAGAATGCCTTTCGCGGCAACAGAGCGGGAGTCAGGTATCCCATTGGATCATAATGCGATGCAGTAAATTGTAAAACATTTCTTTTGGATACTTTGAAAGCGGTCCATTCCTTGCACTTCATGAGGATATCGTCTGATTGGATGTCCTATTTCACACGTAACACTGAGGTTAACAATTCATTTTCTTAGTTTTGACGAGGTATCTAAGCCTGTACCTCTTGATCATTACTTAGAAACTCTCTTACGTTCATCTTTGCGTTTTTAGAAAGATGTTTCGTTTCTTCATACCACTGGCGAGCTTCTAAGATTTTATTTCCAGTCAGTATCACATCTTCAAAATAAAGATTTTCTCGTAATGAAGCCGCTAACCATGGCTTCAAATTTTTTAAACAGTGTTGTAGGACGGCAGCTAACAAAAAGAGACTCGAGACGACTCCGAGTAAAATTTGGCAAAACCTGTACACAACGAGATTATCTGACGTTGGAGGCCCTCCTATATTTTTGACCCAAAGAAATTTTGTTAAATTTTGGTCTGGCTCATGGAGTGATATTTGCAGAAAGGCCTTCTCAACGTTAGCCATCATCACTATATGGTCTCATCTCCAACAAAGAGGTATTCTTGCGAGATTTGGCACGTTTACTAGCCTGCGATAAAGTGTCTCATTTAAGCTCTTACCTCCGTTCGTCTTTACAAAGGCATCAAATACCACTTTTAGCTTTGTCGTACTCTTCTGAGGTATAATTACAGCTTGATGGGGATAAATAATGCATTAGACCTCCCTCAAAATGTTTCGGTGCTGGTCCAATAATCCCTGATTCCAACTGTTTTTTAAACACCTGGTCACGGCTTTTTAACAAAGTTGGGGAACACCTAAGCTTGTTTAATAAGTTTCTTGATCTACCTACGCACGAGCCAGAATTTCTGCTTAGTTTTGGTGACTTCAATTTCCTAAGACAGCTTCAATGTAGCGGCGTAAACTGTCTCTTTTTAGCAATTGATTAAATTGTGCTAAGTCGCTATCATTATCTGCCGATGAGTCAGAAATACCTATTGTTTTTAACCGCCAAAATTCACTTACATCTGTTACTGAAAATTGCTGCTGTTCATCCCTAAGGCTTCCTCTGTAGTCCTGTAGCCCTTTCCTGTCAATACCGGGCCGACTAAGGTCAGCAATAAATAAAATCCCGGCCTCAATGCTTTAATTTTGAGAACCAATTCAAAGAAGTAATCAGCTCCTACCAATAACTGTGATTGCTTCTTGTGCTCATTACATGACACGACATTCTCCAATTTTAACTGTTCTAGATTACTGTTAATGACGTGTACTACTTTGAGCTCACTTGTCATGTAGTCGGTAGTATTCATGGCAAGAACTTTGGTCCTCTAACTCTCTAGCTTGATGCTCACAAAAACTCGACTTGTTTCTACTTTCTTTGGAGCTCTCGCAGCAGAACTACCTATTCTCAACGAGGAAGACCGTGATAGGGCTATTTCCAGTCTTTGCGCTAACTCTTCGCTGATATATAAACGCTGGCTGCCCGGATCGAAGAACATAAGTACTCGCTCGTGCTTTCCTGGATTCTTGATGTTGCTAACTTCAAACTCTCTGCACATAAAGAGTACTTCCTGTTCGACCATATCGTCTCCAGAACACAAGGCGGGCGTGGTAATAAACTTTTTTGAATGCTGGCTTCTAAAGTCTGACCTTTTTTGATTCACCTTGCTGGAGTGATAGACACATCACAGCTACGTGCTGCCCTTTACATAGATAACATCTCCCGGGAAATTTGCAGTTTTCCAAATTGTGAGTCGTACTTAAGAATTTTAAACACAATTGTTTTTCACTTACTCTTCAGATCCTGCTTTCGTATGAGGTGTACTGGGGGCAACATCTAGACTTATGACTCAAGTCGCAAGATCGACATCTTATTCTAATTTTTTGAAAACCATCTCCCTTTGTCTGTTGTGCTACTGCTGTTGTTGACAAAACTGACGCTGAGGATGCTGGTCTGACTTGTTGTTTTCTAGAAATTACTTCAAGTTCCTTTTCTGACTGTCTAAAATACCTTCTTTCTTGAAGTTTTAACGCGATTATTTCTCTTGTGCTAAACTATTTAGGAACTGTCGTAGGTCGTCGACTGTCCAGTCTTTTTTGTTTTCCTTAGGCTCCTCCAATTTTTCTGTCTTCCACATGGGTAATTTATCTTCTATCATAGTTCCAAAGTAAGAACCTTCTATGTTTTCACCTAGCGCTTCCAGTTGTCTGAGGACACGTTCGATATTGTTAATCGCTTCACTGATATCTCTCGTACGATTGACCGGCTGAAGTGATTGTAAGTCCCTATACAAAAATGCTTTGGCTCAGGTCGGTTGACCGAATTTCTTTTTTAATTTTTCTACTTCTACCTTGTAATTCTCACCCCTGACTGTGTACCCTTCTACTGACCTTTTTGCCTTACCTCTAAGGGGAGACAATAAATGAATCAACTTTTCTGCTTATGACAAATTTTTGTTCCTCTACTGCTCTTTTGAAACAAGACCAAAATGCAGGCCACAACTTAAAGTCCCCATCAAACTCGGGTAATTTGATCGGTGGAATTTGGATCTTTGTTCGATGTGCCTCAGGATAACCCAACTGCATAGTACTGGTCGCGCAAGAGCTCCTTGCGTCCTGCCGGGTCTCCAACACTTTAGACGTCTTTCTCAAAGGGGAGCGCCTCTGGCAGAGGGCTGCTCGCGCGCTCTTAAGTACTGCAACCAGATCGTCGGCGTCGTTAATCATCTTCTCATACACTTCGTCTTTATATTCTCGCTCATCGCCTTCCGTCTAGTTGATCAGTGCTAGCCACCAGGCATGCCTTTCTTCTAACGACGCAATGGATATTTGGTTGTCTATGTTTTCCTGTAATTGGTCCTTCAGTAAACTGTAGGTTTTAGTTGTTTCCTTTCGCTTGACAGTACTGGAGTTTAATACTGGACAGTTTGCAATATATTGCTTTAATCTAGCTTGCATGGGCCCTATAGCCTTGCGCAAATTACTTGTAATATGTCTCACCATACTCAGCGTACTTAATTTCTTCTTTACTCTTTTTTTTAATGAGGTTTTCAATGTACGCGTTAATTTCACTTCAAACCTAAAGTAAAGGACTCACGCGGAGTATCCTGCCGTGGTCGCCATGTCGTAAACACTTCGTTCACTCATAGAATTAGCGTGTTTTCAAAGCCAAAGGAAAATTTTACTTGAAATTTCTCTAAACAATTTGTGACACCAAACTGTAATATTGTGATAAAATTCCAATAAGTGTGAAGAACTTATAAAAGGAGAT